TCTGTTTCACTTGCACTCATGTACTTACTAAATAATCATATATCCTTCTCAGGTGTACGCTCGCATTCGTATTCGCGTGGTCAAGGTCCGACGAATTCTATAGCGACTACTGCCGTCTCTGGAACAGTTGGCTTCCCTCCAGTTACAGCTGGCGCTGATGGAACTTCGGGCACGGGCACTGGTGTTGGCGGCGGACTGGGGCTTATTCAGTCGTTTACCCAACGGATATCCTCTACTGACCGGCCAGCCGCTAAGCTAGAATCCTCTATCTCTCCAGGGTACGATGATCCTATTGGGCAACAGCGCTCCAAACGACCATTCTGGAGTCCCAGTGAGCTGGCTCGTAAGATCAGCACTGTCACGGTAAGGCAATACAACAAATTCAAAAATTCGTTTCTCTCGAACTGACTCATCTACATGAGGTTCGATGCAGCTTTAATTAGCAGATTTTAGTGGAACTCTTTACAAATTGGAGACATCGCCAAATTTGTTCTTTTGATCCATTATCAGAAGGAGGCTTGCCTTGGACTTATGACCGTTGAATTTTGGGAGGAAGTCTTGTGAACCCGAGGAATCCATGTTTACCCTTAATTTATGATGTAATACTTTTTAGGAAAACTTTACCAAGCTTTAAGACAAGCAAGGACTGCCAGCTTAAATCCTATCCTCTTCTTATGAACTAAGTACACGCACTTTATGAGGTCTCTCACTGGGTTGTTTTTCATTCTTCATCTGCATACTTACAAATGAATCAAATTGTTGTAGTTGGGATTGGTGATGGGTGTATGTATAGCAGAACAGCTTTGTCTTCACCATACTCATTTGCGTTTTTGATCTTGCAATGCTGATGCGTAAAATTGTGTTCCTTTGCATGCGTTTGCAAGCTGAACGTGTACAATTCTCGCGAATCATCTTAAGACCTGGGTTTCGCTTTTCCTAGTGATAAGAACTTTATAGAGAAAATGATGATATAGCTTAATATTATTCTATATTAAGATAGATACTGAGTTTAAAGTTGTTACTTTACTTGACACCCGTGGTAGTAGTACCATCACAGAAAGCCTAAACAAAATG